CACTATTTTCTATGGTAGTATTGTTGTTTATAGTTATTTCTTTTACATCTATTTTTCTATTTCTTACGATCCTGTTAATATATTTTATCTTCTATTGCTGTCACTGACCTATTGTCTATTGTTTATTTTTCTTGTTCTCGAGCCGAGAGTCTTTCGAAAACAGCCTCTCTATCCCTCTGGGGATAGGGGTAAGGTCTGCGTATATTCTACCCTAGGGGCGGACCCACGTGGAGAGGTGAGGGGTCACTGGCACCCTATAAGCTCGGGAAAAATCATGTATATATTACTGTATATACGTCGAGGACCCATATAATAATTTAATTGTGCCCCCAAAACAATAAAATGCTCCTTGGTTGCATTGGTTCCGCGGGCTGTTTAGTTTCATTCTCTCACTGCCAAACCTAGGATCAAGACCCAACACCAGCATTACTTCAACATTTCTTTCTTTTTTCCTTTTTTAATTGAATGACAGTTTAGTACTCCATATTTAGTAATCAACTTGGTTTATTTATTTTTTAATTCAAATATTAATTTAGTACTAGTACATAGAAGTCACTCAGTTTAATTTTTTTCTTTTAAAATCTCTCCATCTAAGCTCCAAAACTCAACTTCTTTTCACGATTAGTTCTTTGTATCTTCTACACAAAATACTCAAGAAATCTATTGGAGATACATCTTTCTAGACTTTGAAAAGTTAATAAAGAGACACAAAAATAATGATTAAAGACAGTAGGGAAGGGGGATAAAATATTTCATTAACTAGTTTCATTAGTCAATAATCTTTATCTCGAATTAATTTTTATTATTATTTCATTTAGAAAAAATAAAGACAACTAAAACCCCTCTCCCTTCAACGTTTACTTTGGCAAAGTAGCAAGTATTCGTTCACTCTGGGACTTCAATTGATACTTTTTGGACTGCTTACAGACTTTTATTAGTCATGATTTTAAGTTTTATTTTATGTTTTTAAACATATTTCGGCCAAGAACTCGTAATCACTAAGTGTTCAAAGAGTTGCACGCCAAACTTTATTGCAACTTATGTTATTTTCATATTTACGTTAAAGATAATGGTGCCCCTGCGACATTCAAATCCTGGGTCCGCCTCTGCTCTACCATCTCGAGACCCCACTTATGAGATTATACTGGGTTATTGTTGTTGTTGTTGTTACAAAAATAAGTATTCTAAATAAAAAATAACAATAATAATTATTGTCAAGTACTCTTTCTGTTTATTGTTTCTTTCCGTTGAAGGGGAGTTTTGGAGCAACGATCAAGTTGTCTCCGTGCGTTTAAAAGATCATGAATTCGAGGCGTTGAATCATATAATAATGCTTGCATTAGAGTTGACGGACTATATCACACTCATTATATTCAATTAAATTATGTTACATAAATTGAAACAAGATGAAGTAAACATTCTAAAATTAAGCATGCATAATTACTCCCCCCACACACACACATTGAATTCCCCATTTCTTTCTTCTCGTCCCAATTAAGCAGTACAATGCATGGCTATTCCAATGCAAGTCAAAGGGCAATGAGGCAATAAAATAGACTCATCAAATCCAATGCTCATTTGAAACACAATTAATGTAGAAATAAAGCATATATAGCTCCATATTTTTACGTTCCTCGGGCTAACTGAGTGAGGTGACAATTCAGAATCGTATGTATAAACTCAGTAAACCAGAAACATCAATTCCAAAGATAGGAATTACATCTCAATTGCTTTTTCTTTCAAAATACTTGACATATTTATAGTCTATGTGATACTTATTTTTTATACACGTATCTTAGTTGGTCCACCGCTTATTCTAAATATGTATTATCATTTGTTAGAATCTAAGAATCTGGGTCAAAACTTTCCCCATGTGCTCTTATTAGAAAATTCATACGATTTCAAAGTACCTACAACTTTGGTTCTTGAAAAGCATCCAAACTTCCTACTATCTAAAATACTAAGTATTTAGGTTAACTGATTAACTCACAGTGTGAAATGTATACTTTGACCGATTGTTGATTGTTGTACCCTTTCTAGACGGCAATAAGCTCCCATTTAGCGTGTGATTAGTAGTTCTCGTTTAATATATGTATATAATTATTATTTAATAATGGGAAATCATCTTGATAGAAAAGTGCTTGTTTGAGCCAACGTTTTCTTTTAAAAGAAAGACAAAACTTTTTTCTTCTTTGCTCAGATTATCGATTTCTCACTCGATGTCCGATATCCGTATTGGTGCCCGACTATATCTAGATTCGTATTGCGTAGGGCCCATTCGGGAGAAACGCTCCCTATCAAAAAAAATTCATACACATGATTCGAACCCGCGATCTCTGGTTAAGGGAAGAACAACTTCATTCGCTGCACTACATCCTTTGGTGGTTTTTTTTTTGGGTGAGTTACAAAACTCAGGTATTCCAAAACTTCAAACAAACGCTACCTAAAAATTAAAATTGAAAGAGTCAACAAGACCTTTTGTATTATGACATAAGAAATCGAACAATATTGGTCATTTAAATCAACACGGAGTGATTAGTCATATCGATGCTTGAATTAAAATTAAAAATCCATTTCGATCCTCGTTATTTCTTATACAATAGGAGTTACTACAACAAAATATCTATAAATATTTAATTATAAATTTAGTTATTATTGATTAGAAATCATCAAATTAAAATCTAATTCCGCCACCAAATACACATTTGATAGTGGCAGTAGTAAAGATCCTTACGGAACGAAGAACCTGGTTAGGTGCAAACAACAAAAAGGGCATAATGTTTATTTTTTTTAAGGCATAGTATTGAATTGCTGAATTAAAAATTATTTTTCGAAGCTAAAAAAGTAATATTACTATAATAATAATAAGAAGAAACGGTCCCCGCAGAAAGGCACGGGGACTGAAGAAGTGCTACAAAAAGCTGCATTTTCGTGGCTTCTTTTCTTATAAAAACATTATTTAATAATAAATAAAGAAAACTTATAAAAGACCCTACTGATCTTTTTATCTCAGCTAAGTTGCAAACTCACAAAAGGACAATGCCAAACGTTCCATTAACTAATTAGTTAATTCTCTATCTCCTACCTTAATCTTCTTTTTAGTGTTTTTAAGTATAATAATAAATCAAAGCTTTATCATAACTAAAAGCTCATTATACATTTGGATCGTAGCATTTCTTGCTAGATTACAGCCATAATGTATTCATCATATTGGGATTGTTAGATTCATGATTGGAAGGTGATGACTGATGACTATTTTAGTTAACATAAAGTAAGTACTTTACCCGCTTAATTTATGACTAATCAAATTTCTAATAAGAATTTAAAGTATTTTCAAATAATTGTTGTTTCATTTTTGTTCTCAATCCAAATATGCCTTCTAAGGAATTGTCAATTACTCCTTCAATCTCTTCTTTATGAAACTATTACTATTTGAAACTTTGAACGGTACTTGCTTTGATTAAACTTTTTCAAGTATTTTTAATTGTTTATATAAGAAATATTCTGATTTTTATTATTTCTTTTATACCATTTAACAAAAAAGAATGACACTCTGATGTAAAGAAATATGAAAGGATAGATCAAGATCGTTGTTTGAGTAGTTAAATAGTTTTTCTAATCATAAATTAGTTTTCATGGAACTTCATATTTTGAATTTCACAATTTATTTTGTGACATGTGTGTAATTTTCAAGTATAATAACTTTGTTCAGCCTGAGAAACCAATAATTGAATCAAAATCATTATATTTCAAACCTCATTATTCATGGAGTAATGAAAAGATAAAAATGATACTGTAATAAAATATTATATAAATAAAATAAAGTTGAAAGTGAGAATGATTGACCAGTAACTTTACTATCCCTATTGAGGGATTCGAGGCCGTAGATTGACTAATCTCCACCCTCACGTGCGACTCTTCTTTGACGATAAGATTAGATTATTATCCTACATATTATATTAATATTAATACTAGAAATAATTAATACTCTGTAGTTAGTAAGTAATTTATTTATTTATTACTCGTAGAAGACTCTACAGTTCATCTTGACACCTGTGCCACCTCCTTAATTAACTTTTCTCTTCTCCTTTAATAATCGCCGATTGTTGCACTGGCCAATCAAAGTTTTTTTATCTTTTTTTCTTGAAAAATTAATAACGGAATCCTTTATGATTTTTTCTTTGCTTTAATGATGATACTGCAACTTTAATCAAAAGGGATTTGACTAAAAGTGCAGCTATATGCTAGCATCAACAATTTTTTATGGTTGTAAATTCGTATCCAAGAAAATCACAACTTTTTATTAATAAATAAATGCCACATTAATTAGTTAGTTTTCAATAAATTTCTTCCAAATATTTCTACTGATTGACATATTTAGAAGGTAGTTCATTTAAAGATAAAATATATAATATCACGTGAAAGTTTATAATACAGACTAAATTTTGTTATAGAGTTGAAGTTAAAAAGGGAAGAATAAGGAACCATTTGGATTAGTAGTGTTAGGTTAGTGGATTCAAACCAAAAATTGGGACAAGGGAGGATGTATTATTTGGACCTAATCGGAAACATTATCGGGTCACATTTATTTATTATGCGCTTATAACATATCATTTGTTTTATTTTTAATATCACAAATCTCAAATATTATGAAAGAATACATGTAGATATTTTTTTGGTAATATAATAGTGTAAATATTATACTCTAGTGTATATAAGTAAAACTCATTATTTATGATTAAGAGTATAATTAACTCATTACTACTACATTTGACTTGAATTATATACATATATAGACACATAAATATAAACAATTTGCTAAGTGTGGATCAACTGTTAAACTGTAAAAACATAAAACAATGAAGTTAGGGGTAAAGTTCGTTAAGATTCTAAACGATATATAATTAAAAATGCAATTAAAATATTAATCACAATCAGTGACAAAGATGTAATCCTCTCTATGCGTCTTAAATGATTCCCTAATCCCTACCATCCCCTATTATAAAATTCCCACTTCCTTCTCTTCCTTTTTCCACACTAATCTAATCCATTACACTATTACACCATTTCTTCGCTGCCGGCCATAGCCACAGTTTCCATAACTTTTTTCGCTCTCTCTGTACTGTGTACTGAATTTTTTTCGGTACTCGCTAAAGCAGAGAAAAATCGCAGGCCTAGTTTCTAATAGTGTTACCTTTTTGGGTGTTCTGAATCACTGCCAAAGTGCAAGGGTGCATATACTGCTACGGCTATCGCATCAACAACAGTCAACAACTACTGTTTTTTGTTTTTGTTTTGTCAATTTATGGTTTATGGACCACTAGTACTGCAAAAGTTGGTTTCTGTAAAAGCAATTTCTGGAAAGGAAAATCAAGTATAGTAGTAGTAGGAGTACTACTTACTACTTTGTTGCTTCTAGTTAATCACTGTATATCACATAGTGAGCGTGAAAATTAATCAGTCGCAAAAGAAGAAGAAAAATGCTTGAAACGGTTAAGTACCTGCTTGGCTCCGCCGGCCCTAGCGGTTTCGGTTCTAAATCCACCGCTGAAATTGTCACCGAACAATCTCCTGATCTTCGCTCCATCACCGCTATCATCACTGGTAAGATATTAATCAGTACTATTCGAAATTTAATCATTTCATAGGAAAAAATTGATTATATCATCATGTGATTTGTGCAGGTGCTACGTCAGGAATTGGAGCGGAAACAGCGAGAGTTCTGGCCAAACGCGGTGCTAAGCTGATTTTACCGGCTCGTAGCTTAAAAGCAGCTGAAGAAACCAAAGCTCGTATTCTCTCCGAATCGCCGGACGCGGAGGTTATCGTTATGGCTCTCGATCTTAGCTCTCTCAGTTCCGTACGGAAGTTCGTTACCGAATTTGAGAGTCTGAATTTTCCTCTCAATCTTCTTATGTAAGTACTACTTCATTCAGCTTTTTTCGGTCAACTATATATATTGATTTTTAGTTTTAATTTTTAAACTTATTTTTTAGGTTCACGTTTAATTATCTGTTTGATTGCAGAAACAACGCCGGAAAATTCGCTCACCAGCACGCCATTTCTGAGGACGGAATTGAGATGACTTTCGCTACTAATCACCTAGGTAAATTTATTGTATAAATTAAACCGTTTTCTGTTTCATTTACATGCATGTGATGAAGTTTTTTAAGCCGATTATATTATTTTCTGTTTGGTTTGTTTAATTTGTATGCGAATATCTACAGGCCATTTCCTATTGACGAAGCTATTACTGAAGAAGATGATCGAGACGGCCAAAGAAACCGGCGTTCAAGGAAGAATAGTGAATGTGTCGTCAAGCATACACGGTTGGTTTTCCGGCGACTCGGTTCAGTATCTCCGACTGATCACTAAAGACAAAAGGTGAATTTTTATTCATATCTCTGTTGCTATCGCTTTTGAAAAACAGGGAAAAGTATATTACGTTACTTTCATAGGACTTTGTACTGAATTAAATGCATTATTGGTACAAGACAATATAGGATTTTTTGTATCACGCATTCACTATTTTTTCGAAAACGAAATCACATTTTATGTCTTTATAAGTGTTTTAAATTATAGTCCAATTAAAAGGACAATTCTGTGCACCAACATTTCGTGTTTCGGAAGATCAACAAATGATCATATTTCAACGGGTGTGATGCAGGTAACTGTTATCAGTCATAAATCTTAGTTACAGAGCTAGTCGATACCACATATATTTGATAGAATAGTTGATTTGAATACCAATGTTATAAAGTAAACATAAAAGAATATGACGTAGTTTATAGCAAAACATCATCGCATCCATGATAATTAAAAAAATACTATATAATCTTATATATTTTGTGCAAAATTTTAAACATATACTCCTATAATTTGTGTTAACAAGCTTGACTTTATTATGAAAGAGAGTAATTTGTCTTGGTCTATGGCAGTCAATACGATGCGACACGTGCATATGCTCTCTCGAAGCTGGCTAATGTTTTGCATACCAAGGAGCTGGCTCAGATATTGAAAGTAAGTCCAAGATTTTCTCTCCTTTTTTATTGAAAAAAAATGTTATTTATTGTTTTAGGAAAAGTGAAATTTGTTGGCTTGCTTCTGATTCTTTTGGAAGACTGAATTATTGTTGTGTTCAGATACTTGAAATTAATATTAGGTGTCCTTTTTGTCTTTTAAATGTTGCAGAAAATGGGGGCAAATGTGACAGTCAATTGTGTTCATCCTGGGATTGTTAGAACTAGACTAACTAGAGAACGCGAAGGCCTTGTCACTGGTATGTTAAATACTCCCCTACCTTTCTTTTTACGGCAGCCATGAAATGTAATTATAATACTCAGTAAAATGCCTCCTTTATTTCAGGAATTTTTGTGGCAGTACTGTTCGAACTAGTCCTCCGCACTTTGATTATGTTATTCGATATCTGATATCTCCCACCAGTACATATATTGATCAATTCTGCCTACCAAAGGTCAAGACAAATAGGAAAAAACTAGCATTCTTTTGTTTTTGTTAGAATTTGAACCGCGGTCTTCTATTATTTTACAACTACATAGATCGTTAAGCTACATTCTTGGATTCTAGTTCTAATAAAAAAATTTAAGCTTCCTTTTGAATATCTTCACTAGTCATTTGTTTAGAAAAAATATTTTTGAAAAATCAAGGCGAAATATTTTACCAAACTAAATACAACCTAAATTTAAGTTTTCACAAAAAATAAGCCAGATTCTATATAAAATAATTTCCCCAAAAAATCCTAGTATGTACCTTTTGTATTTCACATGATTGTTTTCGAGAGTCTGGTTTTCAGTAACTAATCTGAAACTAAATCAATGTCACCTAAGTATTTTGATAGGGAATATGGTTGAAATAGTTTATGTTTCATAAAAAAAAATAATTCTTTTGCAACTTAAGTTATCAAATAAGTCAGTGCCTAACTCTTGCAAAAATAGAGGATGTCTCGTTTTCATAAAACTAACCCCATTACTCATGATTTTTTTTATTTTTTTTTATAAATGCAGATCTGGTGTTCTTTTTGACTTCAAAACTTTTAAAGACTATTCCACAGGTAATTTTTCTCATATTTTACCTCTCCTCATATATGCTTTAATAGGTGTTTGGCATGGTTTGGTTGAGATTTGGAAAATAAGTACTAATATTTAAAGTTAAGTTGAAAAGGCATATCTGAAAGCTAATTAGTAGTATTTTGCCCTAGTATTAATGATAATTCGACAGGAAATCGGATTATATTGTAGAAAATAGAATATCGTCAAATTCATTGAATAAATGAAGTGATAAACACGATATATATGCATGCCTGATTACTTATACTGTTCTGTATTTCCATGAATCTATATTTCAGGCAGCTGCGACAACTTGCTATGTTGCAACTCATCCAAGACTTGCAAATGTGAGTGGAAAATATTTTGCAGACTGTAATGAAGTTTCTTCTTCAAAGTTGGGTTCCAATTTAACAGAGGCAGCACGCATATGGTCAGCTTCTGAGATTATGGTTTCTAAAAATTCTAATGCACATTTAGATCCATTGGAGACCTTGCTCTGATTCTTACCAAAAAAGAAAAAAAAATTCGGTGAAGGACATAGTACTGTAGTATTTTTGGTATTATGAGAGATTAGTGAGTTCTTGTATAAAGAAAAAGTTTTTGCGATAATATAGTAGGATATATATACACACAAATCTAGGAGTATGTTCGTATAGTAAGCTAGATAATTTAATATGTACATTGGTTTATTCTCTTCGTATATGTAAGTTTGTGAAGTTTAATTTGAAGCTTACCAATCGTAAAATTTCTGATTGGGAGTTTATTTTACATGTAATTGATGTATAAATTTATTATACTAATATGTGGTAAACTAGTTGCAGCAGTTATGCAATTAATGATTAGCTATAAAATAGCTCAATTTGCAAAAAATTCAAAAGAAAATGATTTTCTTAATTGGTTAGAGTATGGAAAAAATTTAAAGAAATTTAGATGGAATCAATAACATGGGGTTCGTTTGTTTCCATGTGGATGTTAATATAATTTTTGGGGAATCTTTGAGGGGTTAATGAGGGACCTACTAACATGTATCAGGTGAAAGGCAAGCGTGTGTAGAAGCAGAAAAATAATCATATTGAAAGACAAGTCATATCAGAAAAAAAATTAAGTGATGATGTTATATTATTATTTGTGTGTGTCAATTGCAATCCGTGGATTTTGATGTAAACTTTTAAGAGCATCAATTGATGTTTCTAACCATATTGGGTTGCTATAGTGGTAAGCACCCTTCACTTCCAACCAAAAGCTTGTGAATTCGAGTCATCCCAAGAGCAAGGTGGGGAGTTCTTGGAGGAAGGGAGCCGGGGGTTTATCGGAAACAGCCTCTCTACCCTAGGGTAGGGGTAAGGTATGCGTACACACTATCCTCTTCAGACCTCACTAGTAGAATTATACTGGGTTGTTGTTGTTGTTGTAATTGATATTTCTGACCACCATAGATTTTGGTGGAACGGATAAGATCCTTTTGTTTTAATTAGAGGTGTTATGAATTTGAGCCTTGGGAACAAAAAAACTATTGATAAGAAGCCTTTTCCTTTAATAGAACTCTTGCAATGCTAATTTTAATTTTTAACTAGTTGAGGCGTCAAGCTAAAATATTGAATAACGGGTAAGAAGAAACAAAGAGAAAGGTCTTTGAAAATGCCAAATATGAGCCAAATTCAACTAAGAGACAATACTTATCAATCAAGGTCTCTAAAAGGCAAAATAAAGCCACATTCATCTAAAGGCAATCATGCAGTTTGGTTCTAAAGATCGTTCATTTACATATTACAATTTACACGTTCTCTGATAAATGGAACCAAGTGATCCAATATGTCAAGAATCATTGAACCACAAATGCGCTGATACCGCGGAGTTTGTCCATTAGCAGATTATAAAGAGGAAAATAAACTCTTCCTCATCAACAAAGTCAAAACAATTTTTGGGCAATGCCAAGAAAAAAAGAAGATGAAATCAATGTTTAATATAACATAATAAATCGAGTAATACACAGTTAGTCAGATACTCAGGAAGAGAAAGAAAGCATATTGAGTTCAACAACTTTGATGGCACATTATATTGATTTGCCAAACTATAGTAATCCTTCTTGTAATATAGGAAGCCATTTTTCATGAAAATATTTTCTTGTGTTTGATTGGTGAGTGAAAAAAAAAAAAAATTCAGAAAAAATATAAAGCTCAATAATTAGATTAACATACAAAGAGTATTTTGATAAATGTTTTGAGCATTAAAGATTAATAATAGTATCTAAGAGTTAGTTACAACAAGTAAGAGTACAAAATTAAAGGGTAAAATTCACAAATTATCATATAACTATGACTTTTTTTCACTAAAGTCATATAACTTTGTTTTCTCACACAAAAATCATATAACTATGGCTTTTTTTTAAACCAAAATCATATAATTATGTTTTCTAACACAAAAATTATAAAATTTTTACTAACTCGCACAAAAATCATAGTGATCGGAAAATATAATTTTTCAGTAGTATTTACTTATTTTGTAGTTTTTTATTGTCTTATTTTCAGCCTAATAAATAATAATCCAATTAAAATAGGAATGACTCAACCCGACCCAATACTCATACATATAAATTAAAATAATACTAAAAGTGAATAGTAAATCTTTCAAAACATGATAATTCTATTGTTTAAAATAATACCTTTTAAAATATGAATGACCTAGGAGCAAATATAAAAACTGGGCGGACGAAATAATTGCATTTGTTAGCCTAATTAGTTTCGTCCAGCCGGTAAATTTTATATTTTTTCCTTAAAATAGGAATGACCCAACCTAGTCTAACCCAATACCCATATACGTAAGTTAAAATAATACTAACGGTGAATTCTTCCCCCATAAAAAATTCAGTTCATAATGCATGAGATTCTGACAAAAAAATAAAGAAATAAAAGATATAATTAGAGAGCACTTGAAATAAAAATACTATAAATTTGAATAAAAATATCGAAAGGAAAATAAACAATAGAAGTATCATGTTTCGAAAGATTTACTATTCACATTTAGTATTATTTTAATATATATATATANTATTTATTAGGCTGGAAATAAGAAAATAAAAAACCACAAAATAAGAAAATACTACTGAAAAATAATATTTTCCGATTACTATGATTTTTGTGTGAGTTAGTAAGAGTTTAATAATTTTTGTGTGAGAAAATATAGTTAAATAATTTTGGTAAATTTTTTTTTGTAGTTATATGATTTTTGTGTGAGAAAACAAAGTTATATGACTTTAGAGAAAAAAAGTCATAGTTATATGATTTTTGTGTGAGAAAATAAAGTTATATGACTTTAGTGAATTTTTTTTTTAGTTATATGATAATTTGTAAAATTTACCCCAAAATTAAAGATAAGATAGTTATAAAATCAAGTCGAAAGTGAGGGAGGTCATTTTTTTTCTTTAGTAATAAAATTATTTTCTTAATAACCAAAGACCAATAAGTATGACTTCCCTGATACTTACCATCAACACTTGTAGTCTAATGGTACTGTGAGACTCTCCTCACAAGTATGAGTTTAATACTCACCGCCCATTTCTTTTTCCTTTTCTGGTCCCCAAGTATAAAATAAAAATTAAAAAATTAAAAGTTCAGGCATAAAAAGATGATGTGTGCTAGGAAAAAACGAAAGTAATTTCTTGTCAGGTATTCGTGGAATTAGTTGAGATGAGCTCAAACTGACTCGAACCCCACCGTTATTACAAAAAAATTTTTTTACATCCTATAGCAAAGGTATACACCCTATTTATTATAAGCCAAAATTATTTTAAAATATTATTTTCTATAGCTACCTTTTATATTTTATAGCAAAATAAGTATTTATGGTATATACTACCATTGAGGCATGAAATATGTTATTTATGTTTTTTCTCTCTTAGACAACTGGACATACCTATCTTTAAGGTAATTTTTGCTGTTGTATTCATGAATACATGATGCGAATACATGCGCTGGACTGTCCTGATTTTAGGCGCTTTTTACTGTTATATTCATGAATACAACAACGCGAATACATGTAAATACATGCGCGTACAGCTGGACTGCCCTGATTTTAGGCGCTTTTTGCTGCTATATTCATGAATACATGGCGCGAATACATGTGAATGCATGCGCGTACAGCTGGACTACCCTGATTTTTAGGCGCTTTTTGTTGTTGTATTCATGAATACAGTAACGCGAATACAACAAATATACTACCGTAATAATTGAATAGTAGTTATAGGAAGTATATATATATATATATATATATATATATATATATAATAGTTATAAAAAATTAATAGCCACTTATATTAAAAACCCCGAAAGCAATTCTTATCGGTTGATGAGCCAGGCCCTATTCAAGAATGGACATTTGGAAATGGTGGACCTTAGTTTACAACCCTTTAACCTAACAAGTTGATAGCAACCTCATCTTCTGCTATAAAAACCAGCTTCTCCTCCACTTAAAGTGCTTTCCAACATCAAATTTTGCCCCATGCATAATGATATTTAGATTCCACCACCATCTATTGTCTTTAAATTTGTATGGTAGATCATATTGCACCTCTCTACTTAATTTTTTTTAAATTGGAAAAAAGGTAAATTTTGTTTGATATGATGTTTTTTATCGAGGTGGACTTGTTGTTTCCATTATCAAGAACCTATAAGTGGATCCTCTGAGTGATTTTTCTTAAGAAATTCTATTTGCCTGTGACATGGAAATTGGAATTTGTTTAGTTAAAGTTTTACTATATAGCAACGCATTGATATGGTAAATACGAAAAAAAAGAGAGCTAAGTTTGTTGTAAGTCAAAGAAATTAGAGTCACTCTAGTAGTTATAACTTGATAATGCATGGTTCTAAGAAGTTCTAGAGTGTGTTTGGCTAAGCTTATAAGTCGGTCAAATTGGCTTATAAACACTTTTTGACTTATTTACACGTTTGTTAAACACCCAAAGTGCTTATAAGTTAAAACCAGTCATAAGTTATAAGTTAGTCACCCCCAACTTATGAGTTTTCAGCTTATAAGCACCTTTAGTTTGACTTTGACCAACAATTATACTAGTTTATTCTTAATAATATTTTCTACTTCATAAAATACTTTTCCCAAAATAAATTTCTTAACTTTTTCTTCATTCGATATTCGTTGTTAATTATTTTCTTTACAAATAAAACTTTTAATTTATAATCTTTTGAGAAAAAAAAAATCAAGGGTATTTTAGTCATTTTAATAAAGAATAGCTTATTAGCACTTTGTAATCAAACACATCAACTGTTTATTATCAGTTTTAGCACTTCTATCCAATCACGTAAATGTTTATTTTAAAAATTAATTTCAGCACTTAAAAAAACTTTTCAGTACTTCAAGCTTATCAGCTATTTACAATCAACTAATCCAAACGGGCTCCTAATCTCACCAATCTTCCGAAGATTTGCTGTGGTTTTGAAGGGAAATAATATGTTTTTTTTTCTTTTTCTGTTCAAGTTATTTGGTATAAGAAAGGCATATTCCCTTCTTAATTTCCCTTTCCTTATTTACGAGCCAGCTCCTCCGATCAAACTCCCTATCTCGATCCTGAAAAGCAGAATCGAAAAAGGGATTTTTTTGTTGTAGAGCACTACTTAAGAATTTATTTAATAAATAACAATGCTTTTGATTTATTTTAAAAATAGCAGATTTAATAACAATTATAGCACAAGATGCTCACGTGCAATAGTTATCAGGTTTAGAAACTAATAAATACTAACCCTCAAATTAAGGGGATGACTTTAAATTCTTATCAATTTATTCCCCATCCTCTTTCATGATAACTCTATCACTTTTAGTATTTAGATTTATTAACATAAGTAAATCTGCATTTTTTCTAAATAAACTGCACAAATAAACACAAATAAATATACATTATTTCATTATATCATTTACATTTTTATATACATTATATATGATATTAATATTTTACTCTATGAAATTATACAACTATCATGTACTCTAAATATACAATATTCATAAAATAAATATATGATACATTTTGAGTAATAAAATTTAAAATACTCCAAATATATATCGTATATATTCATGGTATTGATAAAATAATTATGTATATGTATATCCAAATATCATAATATTATATAAAAAATAATATTTAAATATACTTCATAATATACTTATTAAATAATTATTTATTATACCAGTTATATATAACGTATATAATAGGAGTAGTTATTTATTAGTTATTTATCCAAGTATGCATTATTATCCAAACATTCTCGTTTATCAATAAAAAAAATCATTTATACAAATGATAAAATGTGTATAACCACCATAATAGGTAGAGAGGGAAAGTACCAATAAAATCAAAATCATTTTAGAAGAAAAAGATAAAAATCATCTGTTGAGTATTAAATTAGCAATAAAAGGCTATTAAATGCTTAAGGAAACGTGTGACTTCCTTCCAATTGAATTATGTCATATGTGCAAATATATAATTGCCAAAAATGTTAATAAGTAATTATGCTAAGATCCTGTAAACTGCCCAGTTATGTTTTTTTCCCAATGAAAAAAGAAAGTTGCGAGTAAAATAACAAATATAATCTTTAACTACGAAGTGAACTTCATCTTTCATAACTGCTATGGCTTATAGCATAGTGATATCAGTGGGAGTCTCGATTAGCATTATTCGCTTTCCCCTACCCCTTCTCCAATCCACTATGTAATAATAATAATAATAATTTAAAAAAAAAATCTTTTTCAAGAAATAAAAATTACACGCTTTGAAATGGGCTCTCCTAGTGTAATTGTAATGGGTTTGTATAGCATGTGCTTTATCTTGGGCTTTATTTTAATGGAGAATTTTGGGCGTTTGCATATATACCCACTTTTGGGGCCACCATTGATGTGTGGCTATAATTTCATAGTTTCGTACATTATTTGCCTTGCATTTTACATGCTTTAATGATAAATTACACTTTATTTGTGCGTAATGGAGTCTATTTTATGTGTAGGTGAATTGGAGATGAAAGTAGAGCAAAATGGATACTAGAACGTTGAAAGTGTGCTCGAGAACAGTGAAAAGGAGAAAGCTGGCGACGCTAGGCTTGTATGCAGGCGTTAGACCTGGCGAGGCCAAGCAAAGGCCAGCTTAACCAGGCATTAGACTTGGCGAGGCCAGGCAAAGGCCAGCTTAACCAGGCATTAGACTTGGCAAGGCCAAGCAAAGGCCTGCTTAACCAGGCGTTAGACCTGGCGAGGCCAAGCAAAGGCCTGCTTAACCAGGCGTTAGACCTGGCGAGGCCAGGCCTAGGGCGAGGTCCAGTCCGAGTTTTGAAGATTTATTTTGTCTCCTGGTTTGACTGGGACTTGACCTACACGTTTAGGTCTTTTCCTACACATATAAATAGACTTAAAAACGCAACTTTAGAAGAATGGGGGAGTTTTTGCGGTCAGAGGCAAGAACATCACGTGGAACCACTTTTGGAGGAGAAATCATAGAGTTCTTCATCCGTTTATCTTTTCTTTGTAATTTGTTTATGCAAAATACTTGGAAAATTATTACTATGAACATGAGTGGCTAAGCACTCTACGTTCTAGGGTTGTGGTTGACATGATTATTAACGTTTATTAATTATATCTTCGTTAATTCGGATTATCATCTTGTAGTTGTTTCTTTAATTCTAGTTTTCACTTGTGAATTGTTATAGCTACCAATTCACCCTACTATATATGCTATGCTTGGAAAAGCTATGTATAGATTAGAGTAGAATTAGAGAGAGCTTGTTCCTGAACTCGTGGCTCGGGGGAAGATTTCGCGATTAGGATAGGAATATACCTAACAGTCTTGCTTAATTAAATACCGTATTATATTCGTTCATGATAGACTCAATACTATAGGAATATAGGATTGATATTATTGTGGGCAGGTGAGTAGTATTGTGGGAATATGCTATTCATATAAACGATCCGGTTAATTAGCAACCATAGATAATCTGGATTAACGAGTGTGATTACTGAACTTAATAGGATTGATGAACCAACCACAACCCTGAAATTTCCATCTCCTCTAAAGTAAAATCTCGTCATACAAAATCGCATTCTTGATAATTTAGTTGTTATTTGTTTAATTTCTGCAATAGTAGATTAATAGAAAAATATCACTCTCAAATATCTTGGACAATTAATTAATTTTAGTTTGCTTAGTTAACGATCAATCTAAGTCTCTGTGGGTTCGACATTCGACTTTTGAGTCACTTTATTACTTGACGACCACGTATACTTGTGTGTGTGTTTGGTCCCAACAAGTTTTTGGCGTCGTTGCCGGGGACTTAGTTATTGATTGTTTAGTTAGGTTAAGCTTTTATTCGTTATTTGTTCAAGTTTTAATTTTTAGTTTACTTTATTTGTGATAACGCAAGCTCTTCTCTTGAATGCGGAGGAGTAGAAGCGCAAACAATCTCCTTCCTCTTGATCCTGAAATCGAATGAACACTTCATAGAGTGAGGAGGGAAGTTGAAGCTAAAACTAGAATTGAAAGAGTGTTGGACATCGTAGTTCAACCACAACCAGTGGCAGGTAATGAAGAGCGTCCGGTGATAGAAGCTACAAGGCCTAATCTGGCTTTTATGACTGAGACGATTGTGAAGCCTAATATTACGGGTCACTTTGAACTCAAGCAGTACATGGTACAACTGATTCAGTCCACGTGGCAATATGTGGGTCTATCTCATGAAGACCCACAGAGGCACATTTAGATCTTACTAGAAATTACAGACACTTACAATTATCCGAATGTTTCCAAGGACTATGTCAGGCTGACACTGTTTCCCTTTCATTGCTGGGGAAGCTAAGGAATGGTTACAAAAAGAGCCCGCGAACTCAATCCACAATTGGGATGATCTAGCAAGGAAATTCTTAATCAAATATTTTCCCACAAAAAAGACAAAGTCACTGAGGAGCCAGATTCTTGGGTTTCAACAACGAGATGGTGAGACTCTTCGACAAGCTTGGGAAAGATACAAGAAGTTACTCAGAGACTGCCCACACCATTGTCAGATAGATGAGGTGTTGGGTCACACTTTCGTTGATGGGTTGGACGAGGCATCAAAGATGAATCTTGACTCAGCATGTGAGGGTAGTTGCATGGCAAGACAGTATAGCGAGATCCAGATCCTGCTAAGCAATTTTACTGCTAATGATAATAATTGGCAAAGAGATGGGGAACCACGAAGAGCACTTAAGCAAAAGGCAGCAGGTTTGATCGAGCTTGATGACTTCTCAGCAATGAGGGAAGATATAGCGAGATTAGCGAATCGGATGAATAAAATGACATTGCACCAAGCACAACAGATTCAACATGTGCAACAAATGTCTACTTGCTGCGAGTTATGTGGTGAAGGTCACACAGGTGGCATATGTCCTATGAATCCTGAATCCATTTACTACGTTGGGCAACAAGCTAGAAGGTCGATGAATCAAAATGCTCAATATGGTAACACATACAATCCGAACTAGAGGAATCATCCTAACTTCTCTTGGGGTGAAAATTAGAATATCAGGCCTCAAGCGAATAACAATCGTCCACCTCAACCCCTACAACAAGCAAAGGAGAGTTTAACTAACATGATGAAAAAGCTCTTGATACACAATCAGCAATTGCGCATAGAATTCAAAAATCTAGAGAGGCAATTTGGGCAAATGACTAACAATCAGAATACTAGACCCGTTGGAGCTCTTCCAAGTGATACAGAGAGAAATCCTCAAGTCAATGAAGTGACGTTGAGAAATGGGAGAGAGTTAGTAGAAGTGCCTAAGAAGAAAAATAAGCAATCTGGGCTCGAAGAAGAAAGAGTGCCAAAACCTGTAGAGGTAGATGAGAGAAACAAAACAGAGCCTGAGCAAAAATCAGAGAGGGCGCCACCCCCTTTTCCTCAAAGATTGAGAAAGAAAAATGATGACCATATGTTTCACAAATTCCTAGATATGCTATAGCAGATACATTTGAACATCCCTTTGGTGGACATGCTCCATGAGATCCTAAAATATGCAAAATATATTAAGAAGATAGTGGAAAATAAAAGGAGGTTAACTAAGTTTAAGACCGTAGTATTTATTGAGGAGTGCACTTCCAGGATTCAACATAAGCTTCCACAAAAGCTTAAGGATCCGGGTAGTTTTACCATCCCCGTGAGGATTGGTGAATTTGATGTGGGTAGAGCCTTGTGTGATTTGGGTGTAAGTATCATTCTGATGCCGTTGTCAGTGTTCAAACAATTGGGCTTAGGAGCCCCGAGACCCACCACGGTGATGCTACGGTTAGCTAATAGATCTTATGTTTATCCTGAGGGGGTAATTGAGGACGTCCTGCTGCAGATTAGGAAGTTTATGTTTCCTGCAGATTTTATCATCCTAGATTAACTGATGAGTTAGTTCCTATCATCTTGGGACGACCTCTTTTGTCCACAGAAGATGCAATTATCAAAGTCCGAGAAGGTAAGATGATCCTAAGGGTGGACAATGAAGAATCAGTCTTCAATGTATATCGAGCCATTCAGTTGCCTTGTCATTAAGAGGACCTGGCCATGATTTCGATGGTGGAGATAAATGAACTAGCCATAGAGCCTAGGGCGTTTAAAGAAGATGCACTAGAAAAGGCATTGGCGTTGTTTAATCACTTAGAACTTGAAGAAGAGGTTGAGGAGATATTGCACATTCTGGATGCATCGTGTGAATACATAAGAGAAAGAACCCAATTTGATCCTCTGGATAGGCCAATCGGCCCGCCTCCTAAACCTTTACCATCTCATCTTCATTATGCATATTTAGGAAATTCTAACACTTTACATGTGATTGCTTCTTCTCATTTGTCTGAATTGCAGGAAGAAAAGCTCTTAAGGGTGTTGAGGGAGCACAAACATACCATTGGTTGGATGGTGTCTGACATAAAAGGTATTAGCCATGCATTCTGCATGCACAAAATACTCATGGAGGAGGGACACAAGCCTAGTGTGGAGCATCAACGCCGCCTCAATCCAATCATGAATGAGGTGGTAAGAAAAGAAGTAATTAAATGGCTCGATGCAGGTATAGTATTTTCTATCTCCGGTAGCAGGTGGGTAAGCCCTGTTCAATATGTACCTAAAAAGGGAGGTATGGCTTTTGTAGTAAATGAACAAAATGAATTAATCCCAACTAAGATTGTGACTGGTTGGCGAATATGCATAGACTATAGGAAGTTGAATAATGCTACACGAAAAGATCACTTCCCTCTCCCCTTCATTGATTAAATGCTTGACAGGTTAGTAGGACAGGAATACTATTGTTTCCTTGACGGCTATTCGGGGTATAATCAGATTGATATTGCCCCGGAAGATCAAGAAAAGACCAATTTTATATACCCTTATGGCACTTATGCATTTAAGAGAATGTCATTTGAGTTGTGTAATGCACCTGCTACTTTTCAAAGGTGTATGATGGCTATTTTCACCGATATGGTAGAATAGTTTGTGGAGGTTTTTATGGATGATTTTTCCGTGATTGGTCCGTCTTTTGATGAATGCTTAACCAATCTTGCTAAAGTGCTTGTCAGGTGTGAGGAGACTAATCTGGTACTGAATTGGAAAAAGTGCCATTTTATGGTATGCGAAGGTATAGGGCTGGGACACAAGGTGTCCAAAGATGGACTGGAAGTTGACAAGGCTAAGGTGGAAGCAATTGAAAAGTTTCCACCACCGATTTCAGTGAAAGGAGCTAGGAGTTTTCTGGGACATGCAGGTTTTTATCGCCGATTTATAAAGGATTTCTCAAAAATTTTCTCTCCTTTGTGCAGGTTGTTAGAGAAGGATGTGTCGTTCAAGTTTGACGATACTTGTCTAAAAGCATTCGAGGAGCTGAAAAAGAAGTTAGTGAGTGCACCAATCAAAGTGGCTTCTGACTGGAACGAGCCATTTAAACTAATGCGTGACGCTAGTGATGGTGCAATTAGGGCCGTATTGGGCCAGAGGAGGAGCAAAATATTTCACTCCATTTACTACATAAGCAAGACTCTCACTCCCGCTCAAATAAATTATACTGTGACATAAAAGGAGTTGCTTGCTGTAGTATGGGCGTTCGATAATTTTCGGGCCTATTTGGTTGGCACCAAAGTCATCGTCTACACAGACCATGCAACCATCAGGTATTTGTTTGAAAAGAAAGATGCTAAACCAAGGCTAATCCGTTGGGTTTTACTCTTGCAGGAATTTGACTTGGAGATCCGAGACCGTAAAGGATCAGAGAATCAAGTGGCTGATCACTTGTCTAGGTTAGAAATTCGGAATCATGTAGATGAGAGAGATGTCATCAAGGAAACATTCCCGGATGAGCAATTGTTGGCCATTACTGCTGGGGAGGTGCCATGGTATGCAGATTTTATGAACTATCTGGGAAGTGGTGAGATGCCGCCTGATCTTGAACCTTATGCTAAAAAGAAGTTCTTGCGAGATGTGAGGTCATATGTGTGGGATGAGCCATTCCTGTTCAAATCTTGTATTGATCAGCTAATGATAAGATGTGTGCCTGAATCTGAAATAAATGTTATCTTACATGAATGTCATGCATCGCCCTACGGTAGTCATCATGCGGGTGACAAAACAACAGCGAGATCCGAGACCGTAAAGGATCAGAGAATCAAGTGGCTGATCACTTGTCCAGGTTAGAAATTCGGAATCATGTAGATGAGAGAGATGTCATCAAGGAAACATTCCCGGATGAGCAATTGTTGGCCATTACTGCTGGGGAGGTGCCATGGTATGCAGATTTTATGAACTATCTGGGAAGTGGTGAGATGCCGCCTGATCTTGAACCTTATGCTAAAAAGAAGTTCTTGCGAGATGTGAGGTCATATGTGTGGGATGAGCCATTCCTGTTCAAATCTTGTATTGATCAGCTAATGATAAGATGTGTGCCTGAATCTGAAATAAATGTTATCTTACATGAATGTCATGCATCGCCCTACGGTAGTCATCATGCGGGTGACAAAACAACAGCGAGATCCGAGACCGTAAAGGATCAGAGAATCAAGTGGCTGATCACTTGTCCAGGTTAGAAATTCGGAATCATGTAGATGAGAGAGATGTCATCAAGGAAACATTCCCGGATGAGCAATTGTTGGCCATTACTGCTGGGGAGGTGCCATGGTATGCAGATTTTATGAACTATCTGGGAAGTGGTGAGATGCCGCCTGATCTTGAACCTTATGCTAAAAAGAAGTTCTTGCGAGATGTGAGGTCATATGTGTGGGATGAGCCATTCCTGTTCAAATCTTGTATTGATCAGCTAATGATAAGATGTGTGCCTGAATCTGAAATAAATGTTATCTTACATGAATGTCATGCATCGCCCTACGGTAGTCATCATGCGGGTGACAAAACAACAGCGAAGGTATTGCAATCGGGTTTTTATTGGCCTAAGGTGTTTAAAGACCCCCATGAGTTCGTGAGAATATGTGATAGGTGCCAGAGAACAGGAACAATTACGAAAAGGCATGAGATGCCATTGCACGGTATTATGGAGGTTGAAATTTTTGATGTTTGGGAAATTGATTTTATGGGTCAGTTTCCCTCGTCCAGTGGGTGTAAGTACATTTTGGTGGCCGTTGATTATGTGTCGAAATGGGTGGAGGCCATAGCTCTTCCTACCAATGATGCCAATGTTGTGATTAAATTTGTGAAAAAGCATATATTTACAAGGTTCGGCACTCCGAGAGTGATGATAAGTGATTGGGGCACCCATTTCTGTAACAAGATCTTGGACAATGTCTTAGCGCAATATGGGGTCAAACATAAAATTGCAACAGCTTACTATCCTCAGACTAGTGGGCAAGTTGAAGTCTCAAATAGAAAGATAAAGCAGATCCTGGAGAAGACGGTTAGTGCAAGTAGGAAAGATTGGGTTGCAAAGCTTGATGATTCTCTATGGGCATACCGGACCGCCTACAAAACTCCAATAGGAACCTCCCCTTACAAGTTGATTTATGGGAAAGCATGCCATTTACCAGTGGAACTTGAGCACAAGGCTTATTGGGAAATAAAGAAGTTAAACTTTGATGCAGACTTAGCGGTAAAAAGCGGTTGGTGCAATTGAACGAGCTTGATGAGTTTCGCTTGCATGCGTATGATAATGCCAAGTTATATAAATAAAAGACCAAGCATTGGCATGATAAGCATATTCAGCATCGCTAGTTCGAACCGGGCCAATTGGTTCTCTTGTTCAATTCAAGGTTGAGACTCTTTTCAGGGAAGCTCAAATCGAGATGGTCGGATCCGTTTGAGGTAGTAAGAGTCTCTCCACATGGTGCAATTGAGATGCACATCTTAGGTGGCGAGAGAACGTTCTTAGTGAACGGACAAAGAGTAAAGCACTATTATGGAGGTGACTTTGATTGTCAGAAGTCGAAGGTGTTACTTGCCAATGATTAGACGAGATTCTGTGTCGTGCCGTGACGTTAAATTAGGCGCTTGTTGGGAGGCAACCCATCTTTACTGCATTCTTTTATTTTTATTTTTATTTTTTTATCTTATTATTATTGTAAGGTTGTTTTTGTTTTGTAGGATTATAAGAATAGGAAGAATAGCCATTGGAAGAACGCAAAAGCAAGCTAGATGGTGAGAACTAAGTGTGGGGTGCCCACATAAATGATCATGCTTGGGGAAAGTCTGAGTACCTCGTGAGCCGCTATTGCTTCGGCCTTTGGCCTTTCAGGGAGTTTCTTGTCCACACTTGTTATTGTTTTGCATTATTTGTGCAATAGGGACACTACACTCTTTTAAGTGTGGGGTGAGAGAAGTCTCTAGATAATTTAGTAGTAGGATGTAGAAAAATATTAACTTCTTATTTTTGTTTTCGTAGTTGTGTAATATTTTAGTAGATAAAAATAAATGAGAAAAAAAAGGTAGAAAAATTGGACTCTTCCCGGCGATGGATCTCCTAGATAGTTTTCTTGAGGGATTTAAGTCTAAAGAAAAAGTACAAAAAGATTTTCTTTGTAGGTAGTGTAGTAATTCCCCCTTAGTTTTTCTTTGTGTCGCGGTTCTTTTCCAAGAATTTTATTTGAACCAGGTGTAGGTAGTTTTATTTTTTTAGGAGAGGAGCCATGGTGATGTGAATTGAATTGAAGCAATATCTCTTGACTTTGTTATGCCTTGAGAATAGTGAGTACTTTGGTTGTGACACTTAAGCTCAGTTTTTTACTCTTGTATAAGTACCTTAAATTGTATAATCCTAAATTTGCTTAACTGCTTTGACTAGAGTATCTTGATGAGTCCAATCCTGAGTGAGTTATGTGCNGTAATCCTGTTTTTTTGGCAACCACATTACAAGCTTTACCCATTTTTTTGAATTAACCGTCTAGTTAAACCTTTTCACCTCTCGTGAGCACTTGAATTGTTATAAACTTTGTACAAGTTAAAGTTTGGGATGTTTCATTTGGCTTTTGAGTGGAACTAATGAAATGAGGAGAAAGGTGCACTGCTTTGAAGAAAAAAATAAAAGCCACTTGAATTGAAAAGTAAAGAGAGAGAAAAAATAGTTGAATTACTGTGAAAAATATTCCTGATAGTGGTGACTCTTTATGTAATTGTGCTTAAAGAAGTATGGAGTTAATATACATTGATGTGAAGGTGGAGTTATGGTTTTACATAAGTGTGGGGTTTAAATGTTAAAATGTATGTATTAAAGTGCTTAGGGAGGTGTAGTCACTCTTATATCCAAATGTAACCTACCCAACCCGCAGCCTACATTACAACCAATTAAAGTCCTGCGTGATCCTAGACTGAATGAGCTCGATTAGTCGAGTATTACACTAGGGTAAGCCTATGGTGCATCTTTTATAGCATATGAATGTTATTTCTCAAAGTGAGTGAATTCTTTCTAACTTGAGTTCCTAAATGTTCTTAAAATTTTATTGTGTGTGGAACTACTCTCTTTTGTTGTGTGAGGGAACTTGATTCATGAAGGAAAGGTAATGTCATTGACCGCTATGTTAGACTAAGTGAGTGAGGTGTGAATAATGCGTAATACTTGTGAGTCAAATCTTGAGGTGAAGATGTTACACCCTTGTGCTTAGTCTATTTTAAAGATTCTTTGTACAATGAGTTAAGGGAATTGCTTAATAGGTTGTGTCTATAAGTGTAGTTTGATTGCTCGAGGACGAGCAATGTTTAAGTGTGAGGTATTGATGTATGGCTATAATTCCATAGTTTCGTACATTATTTATCTTGCATTTTACATGCTTTAATGATAAATTATACTTTATTTGCGCGTAATGGAGTCTATTTTATGTGTAAGTGAATTGGAGATGAAAGTAGAGCAAAAGGGATACTTAAACGTTGAAAGTGTGCTCGAGAACAGTGAAAAGGAGAAAGCTGGCGATGCCAGGCTTGTATGCAGGCGTTAGACCTGGCGAGGCCAAGCAAAGGCCAGCTTAACCAGGCGTTAGACCTGGCGAGGCGAGGCCAGGCAAAGGCCAGCTTAACCAGGCGTTAGACCTGGTGAGGCCAGGCCTAGGGCGAGGTCTAGTCCGAGTTTTGAAGATTTATTTCATCTCCAAGTTTGACTTGGGACTTGACCTACACGTTTAGGTCTTTTGATACACATATAAATAGACCTAAAAACGCTACTTTGGAAGAAGGGAGGAGTTTTTGCGACCGGAGGCAAGAACATCACGTGGAACCACTTTTGGAGGAGAAAATCATATAGTTCTTCATCCTTTTATCTTTTATTTGTAATTGTTTTATGCAAAATACTTGGAAAATTGTTACTACGAACATGAGTGGCTAAGCACTCTACGTTTTAGGGTTGTGGTTGACATGATTATTAACGTTTATTAATTACATCTTCATTAATTTGAATTATCATCTTGTGGTTGTTTCTTTAATTCTAGTTTTCACTTATGAATTGTTGTAGCTACCGATTCACTCTACTATCTATGCTATGCTTGAAAAAGCCGTGTATAGATTAGAGTAGAATTAGAGAGAGCTTGTTTCTGAATCCGTGGCTCGGGAAAAAATTTCGCGGTTAGGATAGGAATATACCTAACAGTCTTGCTTAATTAAATACCGTATTATATTCGTTCATGATAGACTCAATACCATAGGAATATAGGATTGATATATTGTGGGTAGGCGAGTAGTATTGTGGGAATATGCTATTCATATAAACGATCCGGTTAATTAGCAACCATAGATAATCTGGATTAACGAGTGTGATTGCTGAACTTAATAGGATTGATAAACCAACCACAACCCTGGAATTTCCCTCTCCTCTGAAGTAAAATCTCATCATACAAATCACATTCTTGATAATTTAGTTGTTATTTGTTTAATTTCCGCAATAATATATTAATAGAAAAATATCACTTTTAAATATCTTGGACAATTAATTGATTTTAGTTTGCTTAGTTAACGATCAATCTAAGTCTCTGTGGGTTCGACATCCGACTTTTGAGTCACTTTATTACTTGACGACCACGTATACTTGCGTGTGTGTTTGGTCAAATATGAAATTCTCTTGGTGTAACTTCAAATATGAAATGTAGGCGTTAGACCATCTACATTGCACAAAACTTTGCCAAGTGTAACCCCTCGAATTTGAAGTAGTTTAATCTCTTGGTGTAACTTCAGAAATCAAATATGAAATTCTCCTATCTTTCAACTGCAATTTTAGAAATTCGAATCTTAAGTAGTTCAATTTTTTAGTACAACTTCAGACACAAGTTCTTCTATCTTTCAATTGCAACTTTATCAATTCGAATCTTAAGTAGTTCAATTTTTTAGTACGATTTCAAACCACTTCAGATTCAAATTTTGAAATCTTAAATAGTTCAATTTTTCGATGCAATTTCAGACAACTTCATATTCAAAATCCAAAGTTTTGAAACATAAAGTTGTTATTCGAATTTTAACAATCCAACACACGATTCAACACTCAATTCTACTCCAAATAAGCTGAAATTTAAAACATAATGTGTAAACACCATAAAGAACAAATCGCAATCATCAAATTATTAAAACAACAACAAATTTAACAAACTCATTTTGCAATTAAGAAGAAGAAAAAGAAATCTTAAAGACAAAGAAGAAGAACACATCAATGAAAAAGAAGAGAAAAATATATGTATCTGAAGTTATTAAAAAATTTATTATCAATTAAATATTTTTTTAAAAGTGGGTACATATTCAATTTCTTATTAGATGTTTAGTAAATTATTTTAGTTTTATTTCTCTTGAAATTGATGGATTTTTGATAATATAAAGATTCTTTTTGAGCTAACTGAAATTCTTATGATAAAAGATTAAACCATGGTCTAATTTTATTTTTTTATAAATAAATATTCAGTTCTATACTACAATATAGGTTGACAAATCAAATATTTTTTTTTAAATCACTTTCATGTAAAAACATTCCTCAACATATGTTTCTTTTAAAAAGATAAAGTGATGGACTAGTTATGAGGGTATTTTTGTAAACAAATAATTCTTTTAAGAAATTGTGCAATGCTTTAATACATCAAACCAAACAATGGATAGGAAATACGTTAGCATAACTAATGCCAGCATAATTAATAACAGCATTACTAATACATCCTATTTACCATTATTCTTATGCACCCTACAAAGCGACCATTATTCTTATGCACCCTAATTGTCTTATATCACGTGAAAAGAAGGGGATAGTAGATACTTTAGTAGAGCTCAAAAAATAGAATATGTTCTAATTTCAAACAATTAAAAATATTTAAAAGAGTTATAATTAAAGAAAATATTGTTTGATTTTCAAATAGTAATAGTTATATATAGAAGAAATTGAAGGAGTAATTGATAATTCTAATATATTCTCTCTCGTGAAGCCATATTTGGATTGAGAGTTAATCTTTACTGGTACTTTTTACATGATTTAATGTATTCAAACAAGATAGATCAAAATATGATATGTTTGGTATTTTTTTAATATTAATAACAAAATAAAATAGTAAAATAAAGGTTGGATGTTACAAATATATATATATATATACTTGAGAAATAGTTTAATGTCATGCTTCTTAATTAATATTCTATATTTAATTTTTATTTAAAAGATTTATATTTTAAGGTTAAGATCCATATTTTAATATTATCCGAGAATTAGAAAGCTAATGAAAAGGGATTGGAGGTGTGAATTGAGACATTTTTGGAGGGAGTACAATATGTGTTGGCTAAACAAAATATTGGCCTGCTCCTGGCTTGACTCCGAATCCCTATTGCAATCAGACAAACGAAAGAATGATGCGTAAAGTCTTATCTGGTTGACCCTTCTAAAATAAGCTTATTTTGAAAAATATTTTTTCTTAAAAGTACATTTCGGTGAGAAATAATTTATATTTAAATAATTAATTTAAAAAATATTTTTGAGTAATAATTAGTATTTGATCAAATTTTTAAAA